TTGACAGCCCTGTGGAGCACAGTTCTATTCTGCACACATGGGGTTGCCATGAGTCAGAATCGACGTGATGGTAACTAATAGAGAGAGGCATGTTGGTCATGTCAGAAGGGATTATTCTCTGGAGAAGGATGTCATACTTGGTAAAGTGGAGGGTCAACGAAAGAGGGGAAGGCTCTCAACAAGATGGATTGACACAGTGGCTGCAATGGCTCAGGTATAGTAGGAATCTTGAGGCTGGCATAGGACTGGGCAGTGTTTCATTCTGTTGTACATAAGGCAGCGTTATGAGTTGGAGACAACTTGATGGCACATAATGACCTTAAAAAAAACAGAGATGAGGTTTTTGTTTGTTTACATAAAAGGGGGCCGTGGATTTTTAAAAGATGGTGAAACTCTATGGTAGAGTCAGCAGTAATCAATCAGCCAAAAGTTGATTGAGTACTGTACCTGTTAAATAGAAGAGAGGTATAAGTTATACTGTAGGGTTTGTATGTGAGGAGACTGAAATCCATCTGAGGAGTTAAGTTATAAAGATACAGAGAAAACTACCAATCAAGACAATATACGAGACATGTCAGAGGGATGCAGGCTGATTGTGGCTGGAATGGTCCCCAGAGGCTCAGATCTGGGTAAGAGGGAGTGACAGGAGCAGATATATATATTTTTTTCCATTGCTTATTTTCATTTCAAGTGGTGAAATACTAATATCCATGCTAACAATAGAATACCTAAAGGAGTCAATTGGTTTAAGAAAAAAAAAAACATTAAATAAGCAGAAAACTCAGAGGTGCAATGAGGAAGGCCATAGTGAGATCAGAGTAATTTCAAAACTGCTACTGCTTTGATTTGTTAAGATTGTTTCAGCAAATTTCCAGTGCTCATCAATAATCTGAAATCCATGTTCTGTCTGTGTTCATTCATAAGGCTATTAGGAAAATAAAATTTGTTTTAAAATGCTTTTCTAAACTTTTATTCAAACATGAAATGTTATTATTATATATAACTACTTTCAAAATGATATTTGTTTTATTTTGAGATGTAAACTATATGACGGCTTATTAGGGATATTTAAAAAAATTAGTTACATTTATTGCTTACAATTCATTTTTTCTGACCCCCTTTTTTTTTCTCGTTAAATAAACTCTCTTCTAGGCTACATGATTCCCTGAAGGATAAGAACAATGTTATGTTGGGGATATTGGTCTCTGGGCCAACCTGGTATCAGTACCAACCTGCAAGGGATTGTAGCAGAGCCACAGGTGTGTGGATTCATATCTGATAGAAGTGTCAAGGAAGTCGCCTGTGGAGGAAACCACTCCGTTTTCCTGCTGGAGGGTGGGGAAGTTTATACATGTGGTTTGAACACCAAGGGACAGCTGGGCCATGCAAGGGAAGGAAACAAGCCAGGTAAGTACACCTAGTCTGCCTTTCTTTATCAGGGAGAATGGAAAGGCAAAAGGGAGGGGGCTGGTTGAAGCTTTCCAAACTAATGGGTTATCTTGCTCTTTTGAACGGTGCAGTGATTCCCTATTGTTCACTACCTTTGTGTCTAATTCAAGCCTTTTGATGGAGAAGCAGACTTTCCTTTTTCATTTTATGAGATAATATATAGTATCATTTACCATGGGAGGGAAGATGACTAGTTTGTTCAGAGTTCAAGAAATAGGTATTCCCTAGTAATTGCATGCAAAGATGTGACAGTTTACAATTAACATCAGAAACTTTTCTCCCTACTTACCTATTTATTTATTTCTGCAGTGTGCTTTTGTTAAGCTTTTAGCATCAGACACATTGCTTGTTGGTGTGATTAGAAAGAAGAGGAGATCCAGTGCTTATGTGGCTCCAGTGATTCCATGTGACAAGTGCTAGATAGAAGTATGTGTGCAGTACGTTTAACATTCTGGCAGGCATAAGACAGGAGGATTTGTTCTGCTTTTAGGGATTGAGTGGAAAGATGACTAAGTCTTCAGCAAATGTGTGTGCACATATGTGTGCACATGTACATGACAGGAACACCAAACTTCTTATGACCTGAACATACCTAATGATTAAAATAAAGGCATGGGTATGAAGGTGCAACAGTAGTTCTGGAATGTTGAAGTGTCGTGAGGCTGGTGATGAAAGGTGACACTCCTACTGCAAACCAGTTACTCTTGAGCTGATTTCAACTCATGTGAGCCCATGTTTTAGCTGCACTATGGAAAGCTTGGTGTGGGGTTACAGGAAAGACTGCTGAACTGGGAATCTGAAAACTGGGGTCTAGTCTTTCATCCAGGAGCTCTGGTGGCATAGTGCCTAAGGTATTTGCTAACCAAAAGACTGGCGGTTGAAGCCCACTAGCCACTCCTTGGAAGGAAGATCAAGCATTCTACTTCCATAGTGATACTGCCTTGGAAACCAAAGGAGGGGTCACTATGAGTCAGATCCAACTCGACGGCAATGAGTTTTTTGGAGTTTTTGAGTCTTTCATCCACCAGGAAAGGATAGCATGGCCTTGGGCACATTTCTTCTTTTTACTGAGTCTGTAAAAGAAGGTGATGTCCTGTTCTAATATTCTTTTTTAAATTTATTTTGTTGCTGTGAGAATTTATACAACAAAACATGTACCAGTTCAACTGTTTCTGCATGTACAATTCAGTGATATTAATTACATTCTTTGAATTGTCCAAACATTCTCACCCTCCTTTTTTATGTTGTTTCACCCTCATTAACATAAACTCATTGCCCCCTAAGGTTCCTATCTAATCTTTTGAGTTACTGTTGTCACTTTGATCTCATAGATCTTCAAAGAGCTTAATATTCAAGGCAGACATTCTTTACTAGTTAAGCTAAACTATTGTTTGGTTTTAAGACTTCAGGGAATATTTTTGGTTTAAACTAAAAAAATTATATCAGGGCAATAATTTGTGGGGTTCATCTAGCCCCTATGGCTCCAGAAAGTCTAGAGCTTGAGTATTTGAAATTCTTTTCTGCATTTTTCCCTTTTTGTTCAGTATTCTTCTATAGAAGTATTGATCAAAATGTTCATTAATGATAGCCAGGCACCATCCATTTCTTTCTGGTCTCATGGCAAAGGAGGCAGTTGTTCATGTAAGCAATTAGCCATACATTCCATGTCCTCCTCCTGTTCCTTGCTATCCTTCTTCCTCTATTGCTCTAGGATAATAGAGACCAACTGCGGTACCTTGGATGGCCAGTTGCGAGCTTTTAAGATCCCAGACACTGTGCAACACTGTAGGAGGTAGAACAGAAGCGCTAAAAACATTATTAGGCCAATTTACTGGGATGTCCCATGAAACCAGGAACCGAAACCTCCAAACCAAGTAACCAAAGCCCTTGAGACTTTTGGTTATACATAAGCAGCCTTAGCAGCTACTTTTTTTTTGTCATTGTAAATATATCTATCACACAACTTTTGCCAGTTCAGCATTTTATAGGTGTACAACTTATTGACATCAGTTACAGCAATTGGCCATGCAATCCTACCCTTAATCAATGTGATTTTCCCATCACCATTAACATTATTGTAGCTCTTGATGAAATAGATTCAAATCGAAAGATGACTGCACAACTTTAGTGGATTAAATGGCATTACAGCCTGTGAAGGCCACCCTCCTTGCTTTCTTCTCTGTGGCTCCACCTCGTGTCAGGTAGCCTCCCTGTTGAGCCAGTCGCTCAGACACGCCTCACACTGGAGTAAGAGGATCCAACCTGGGTGGCAGGTAGGAAAGGAAACAAAAACTTTGCAGTACAAAGATAGGCAGTATCTGTGGAAGGTATCATGGTGAGTACATCTGAGTGCACTCTGCCATTCTTCCAGTGGAGCATACTGACAGGGCCTTGTCAAGGCAGTTGTGCGTGGTGGTTCCTGGGAGTGTAGGGTGATTGAACAGTGTCAAGGCAACCACCTTTCTTCTGCCTAGACACTGCATCAGCCAGTGCCTCAGTCACCCTGGAGCCTCCCTCTGTAGGCAAGGGTAGTGAATACAAGAAACTTGAGCTAGACATGTGTCAAGAATGCATTTGGATTCAACCACCGAATCCATCCCAAGCTTGCAATCTCATTTTGGGATAAGCAAAGTTCTAGTGTAAATTGCAATTGATTCCAGAAATTTCCATTGTTGGTTAATCTTGTCTGTTTATCATAAACTCCGTAACAGCTCTGGAATAGTGCATCTTCGAATGGAAAGATTATGTGGGTGGGCACTTCCCTGTCTTCATTGAACTTTTTCAGTGTGTTCTACAGCTGGGAACCATTTGGGTTTATTTTTAACGAATGGGAAAAGAAGAATGATCTTATTTTCTATGTATGCTTGTTGAGAACCATCACCTGGAGAGTTGCTAGACCTGGAAAGGATACCAGGGACAGAGATACTCTGTTGTAAGTAATGTAGGTTGTGCTGACCTTTCGCCTCTTATCCCCGCCCCAGACAGGGTGTTTCTAGGAGCTTGGGCAGGTTTGTGATTTTAACTTGATATTATTGCCCAGATTGAAGGACTTTGAAGGATGAAGGATTAAAAAGAGTGACTATATTTAGTTTTCTCCAAAGCTTTGAAGAGTGTGAAGAAAAGAAGTGAGTGTAAGGAGTTAATCCTGTGGTAGTCTACTACAAGGGTCCTAGCAGATAGTTTTGAACAAATTGGAATGTTAAGATTTACTATTATGTTTTGCTTCCTGCTGTTGTCTGTGAATGGAATAATACCTGTCCCCAACACCCACTCTGCTGACTGGACTTATTTCCATTCTCATTGGGGCCTCCCCCCAGCATGGTTGTGATTACCTAGCACAAATCTAGAGGATTCATTTCTTTGCCTTGAAATTTTGTTTCCTGTTAAAATGCAAATGACCTTAGAACCCTGGACACAGTTCATCTGACTGCTGAGCAGAAGGAAAAGTGGCAGCAGGGAGTGTATGTGCAAGGACAGAATTCTTCTGTTTGAACATTTGCCTTGACTCTCTTCTGCCAGTAGTCAAATAACAAATTTATGCCCTTTGTCTGACTGGCACAACTGCAGGGTACATGAGTTCATTTTTGTCCTTTAGAAGTATAATTATGTGCATGCTGCAGAGCAGTGATGTAAAGTACTCCACAGTGATGTTAAGGATTTTAAGGGTTTATTTCTTCATTTTTCCTCTTTGATAATATCTTACTGGTTCCTATTGCTGTGCTGCCCCAGAAGCTACAGTGTTTTCCTTGAACTCTCTCTCCCTTCTCTCCTTCTCACATATGTAATGTTTTTATGTGGCCAATTTCATGTATATGATGGGGAGGGGGCCTTTCAAGGACACATTAACATACCCAAACTCCTGATTGTGTGGGCCCAAAATATTTTCCCATGTGTCAGAAAGCACAGGGTTCTAGCATAGGTGTATCTGTGACTCGTTCATTTGTGTGTTGGCCAAAGGCAAAGAAGTCTGTGATTCCCAGAAGTGTTGTTCATGATCAGAGTATTAAAGCCCCATCTAAAGTCAACGTGAAACTTTTTTTTTTGAAGTCTTCATTATAACTCTTGCATATTCCTCTCTCATATGACCTTTTTGGTATGAACCTCATCTCCCTTTAAAAATCAGGGATATTTTTCAGTTTTAGGAGCATTCCTAACTTCCTCACATGTTTGTTCACCAATAGTTTGATAAGGCATAGAGGTATAGAGCTGGCATTACAGGAAGACTTGTGTGCCCACCCGCCCTTTTACTTTTTAATTAAAATAATAATAATAATTTGAGGGTTTTTTCTTTTAATATTCCAATCAGTGATTAATCTGTGTTTGAATATTAAGGCAAATCTTGAAACATTTTATTAAACGAGAATAGAAACTGGTTGTTGATAGGAAAAAATATAAAAAAAATATTACCTCAGTTTAACTTGCCTCTCTTGTTTCCACCCAGACACAATGTAAAACACTACTGTTCAGCTAAATGGATGGTTCTCCTTTCCCCATAAGTTCCCCTGATTTCCAATATTAGATTTTAGCATAAATTAATCCTTGTGTTATTAGGGATATCTGAATGTATGTAAACCTCCTCTAACATTTCTCCCTGTCTTAAATAGGCAAGAGCTGTGGGAGGCACAATTATTTAGTTTAATCTAATTTGGCTATGTGAAATTTAAAAAAATTCTTAGTAAACCCCAAGGGTCACAATTTATAAGCATGCTCTAACATTTCTGTGAAACCTTGTTTGATTCATATCTATGATTGGTTCCTTTTACTTCCCCCTGAGTTAGTTTCTCTCTTTCTTGCAGATAGTTTAATGCAGTTCATATTCACATTTTGTATTTAGTCTAAGCATTTCCATAATGCCCATCACCATGTGTAATAGCTCTCCTGCTGTTTGATAAATGAGGTTTATAAAGCAGAGCATCTCAAAAGCCTCTATTCCCAAGGCTGTGGTTGCTGCTAACCTG